GTGCCTGAAATAAATAAGCCCCCCGGGGGGCTAAATAGAGGATTTACGGTATATGTAAATTTAACCTCGATTTTTGTATTTGAGTTCCAAATATTATTGTAATACATAAATATCATTGTTATCTTCCTTCATGATGAGCCATTAAGGTTCTTGGAGCAAACAATGAAAGTAAATATCGTTAAATTAGTAAAAATACACAGGTGATTATCTAAAATGTYGCGCCGCCRCTGATTGGTGGAGAAACTCACCCTATCACAYGATAATCACCTCGAGCGATAATCCAAAATGGTGGCCAGCCGCTTTGTTGCTGTTACCGGAAAAAAATGTCTTYAACCTTCTTTTTTTTTTTTTGGAAAAATAACCTGTGTATTTATACTAAAACAATTATTTGCCTCAGCCTCAGTGAATATCGGAGAATATTTACGCCATCGCTTGAAGACTAGCATCTAGGTAAATATGATATGCACTTCGCCTTTTGCGAATAATTGTTAATTTAAAAAAACCTTTATTTTAATGACTTCTGATTATTAYACTGATTGTCATAATTACCTTAATGTAATCAAACATAATTACACAAGTTTCGTAAACTATAAAAACCTAGCTTTAAACAATATTTTATTGAGCAGTTATATCTTTCTRTAATTCAGGGAATGCTTTTCCTTTCATCACAAATTATTTGTTCTTACCTTATCTTCATATCTACAAAACTTTACGCTTACACCAGGTCTTTTTTACCATGTGTTTCGACTTTCTTCCTTCCCCAGCCCAACTACAAACAGCTTTACAGAGTTGAAAAAAACTCTTTCTTCTTACAATAAGGTAATTTATGTTAGGCATCATTTTTTTTATTTGGGGGGAGGGGGGATGGGAGGCAGGGAAATTGGTTTGGCAACCAATACAATCACACGCCATAAGCATTCATCAGGCCCTTGTCAGGTACAACACCAGCAAGCAATGATAAAATAGCATCATTATTTGGATGATCTGTGCCTTTTATCAGGTTGTACAGAGTCGCTTTACTGGTAGAAACTATTGCACCACTCTTGGCAAGTCTCTATGATAAAAAGAAGTTCACAACATGATTTGGTTAATAAAAAGCTAATTATTACCAGATCAACCTCTATATGTTAAAATCACAATTTGGGTTGCCTGTTGATATACCCTTCCACTAACCCCTCCCCCACTGGGAAATCATACTCAGGGTTAAGCTGTAAAATGACCTGGGTATCCTTTTGTACCTGTAAACAAATGATCCTCTCACAGTTATGATCAGATGACACTGCATCTGCAATCACATGAACAATATAGTCCCTCTCTAATAGCTCCAGTGCTGTATTATATACACAGACATCTGCCTGCAAAGGAGAAATAAATTTCAAAAGATAAGMAGATAGATTAAGGACCATCAGCCTTATCTATTGTGCCAGTTAATGATGGAATTCCATGAATGTTAATATTTTCAAAATCAGTAGGGCTTAAAATAATGACTGAACAGTCATCTGTCACAATCACAGGCCAAATTAGTTTTAGCTTAGTCATATCTCATTTCTGGCTAACCGTTACTGGTCAAAATGACCAGCAATGCAAAGATTTGACCGGAAAAGTCTCAGTTCTGGCTGGACGTTGTCTGATGTSRGCCTGTTATTTTGAACCCTGGTAGGGTAATTTTTAATAAATTTGAATTCAATCTGGTGTCAAGTCCTTTAGTCATGGGGCCTCTTGTTAATCTTTTCATKCAGTGGAATGAAATTGGAACCCAGCTTTGTAAATCTGATCGCACCAACATTTTATTTGTGGCCCCTTTTTCTAAATCCTGGCTCAAGACATTCTGGAAAGCTAAAGAATGTCTTCTACCAATCAAAGAAGAAATCGTTAATTTTTCTCACACACTGATTGGCTATTCTTTATGATCATTAAGAGGACAGACAAATAAGCTGATGTCAAAGAGCATGCACTCTTTCCCTTGGTTGCTTTGATCRCTAAAATACGTCAAAAAATAGTGATTTTTCATGGTAAAAAAAACAAGGTCTGTTTTCTATGGTCTGTACTCTTATCGAACATGGAAAGGCATCAGCATATCACCCAAACTTTGCAGTGAAACCACTCRCTGCCCTCATGCAGGTTCCCCTTGAATTTGGATCATATGCTGACGCCTTTCAATGTTCGATATAAAGAGTACAGACCAAAGTCATTGGACCTTGATTTGATGAAACTACAAATTATAGGCATAGATATTGTAAGTACTGACCATTACTCCAAAGATGACCACAGATTTGACTTGTTGAATCTTTTTCAATTCGTTCTCCAAACCTGGAGCACCCAGCATTGAAAATGTAGTTTTAGTGAATAGTCTGTCTTTGAAGGAACTGGTGTCTATCTCAGGAACAGTTTTACCACAGCCCGTTGATGGATCCTGAAACAAACAACATGTCGAGCAATTCTTAAATTGTTTTGCATTATTCATCGGGGAGAGGGTGGGCTAGGTATGGGGGAGAAAATGGTTGGCCTCAAAATTTTAGTGATTCTGAAAAGGGATTTTGAAGTAATGCACCAGTCAATTGAAACCCTCACCCCCAACCCCTGGGGCAAGGCAGGAAATCAACACTCCAAGATAAGAGATCTAATGCATATTT